ATTTCGTGACTAATTTCATCACAAAATGAGAGTTAGTGATGGAATTTTTCCGTCACTAATTTCCATCACTAATCATTTAAAACAGAATTGGTGACGGACTTGTGACAGAATTTAATGATGAAATAAAATTCCGTCGCTAATTCAGTGACTGAAATTTTTTGTCACTAAATTCCACCACTAATTTTGGTGACAAAATTTGTGAGGAATTAGTGACGGATTAGTGACAGAATAAAACTTCATTGCTAAATTCCATCACTACTGCCTTTGGAGTGGGGACCCAACTTTGACCCATGGAGTGGGGACACGATGAAGAAAATTGCGGTGTGGTTACGTATTCCCCTACTGCCTTTGGAGTTCTTCAACACCGAAAGCCTTGGAAAAATCGGAAGGCTCATAGGAAGGACCCTACAGATGGATATGATCACATACACTAGTGAGAAAGGCAGGTTTGCACGTATATGCGTGGAGTTGGATCTCCAGAAAAAACTTAAATCTGCCATAAACATATTTGGGACAAGAAGGATTATTGAGTATGAAGGCCTACATCTAATCTACTTCAACTGTGGTAAATATGGACATCACCGTGATGTATGCCCATAGAACACCAGAAATACTGAGCAGAATACAGGCACTCCACACGAACCAGGCAAATCGAAACCTGTCAAAGATCAGATATGGTTAATGTGGATTTGAATTCAGAGCCAAAAGAGACTGCGAATATACAGGTCCCCCGACATAATGTGTCAGAAAGTAGAACCCTAAAGAGACCCAATGAAGATATGGTCGCCGGAACGTTCTCCGTCAGAGAGCCCACAGTGACGACGGAGGGCCATGGCGTCTAGAACCTAGTACAACGATCAAAGGGTAGGAAATTTGGAAACAACTCTAAGTTGGGACATGCAAATAGTAAAAAGGAGAAATTTGTGCAAAAGATGGAGAAGATATCTCAGGATCACAAAAATCAAGGGAATATTAACTCGGAGAACCAATTTAGGAAAAGCAGCGTAAGTCTTGCACATGATATAAATGGTAACTCCAAATCATCGTGGAAGGATTCGCATATGCAGTGGGTCCCGGTGGATCAGATAAATTATATCAAAAATAAAAACCAGAAAGCGAGAAAAGGAAAAATAACTCAGACAACTGCAGCAAAAAAGGATGGCACTCCCACATCGCAGAGCTCAGGAACAGTGCCTACAAACTTTTGGCAAGCTCGCAACCTATTTGAAGCTCTCTCCACAATCAGTGAGCAGGAAATTGGAACCCCACATGGAACAGACTCTCAGTCAAACGAAGCGACTACTCAACACCAGACTGCTCAGCACATCAACGTAAAAATGGCGACTACTATGGATGATCGCTCGCAACCGATAGATATGGAACTATCTACTCCACAACTAGCTCAAGACCAAAATGCGTGTCACTTAAATGATACAGTGAATCAAGCTCAAACCAATACCCAAGGGTCTATAAGCATGAATACCCCTCACTCTCTATCTCCATGAATTGCATACTTTGGAATTGCAGGGGTACTGGGGCCAAGAGTTTTCCAGGCCTCATACGTGAAATAAAAAAAAGACACAATATTGACATTTTCTCTCTGTTTGAAACAAAAGCAAGCGGTGATAAGGCAAAACAAATCAGCAAGAAGCTGGGCTTCCAACACTGTGAGATAGTAAACGCTATAGGATTCAGAGGTGGAATTTGGGTACTGTGGAATAATGATTATTTTTCCTTTCAAGTCATAGAGGCTAGTGACCAGTATATTCACATCATGGCTGAAAAAAATGGTGAAAAGGTATTCATAACCTCAGTTTATGCCAGTCCAAATATTAACAACCGACGGTCTCTTTAGGGCAAACTCACCAACCTTAATCCAGGAAGTCAGTGGCAGTGGTTTGTTAGGGGAGACTTTAACGCGACCTTGCTATTTAATGAGCGTATCTCCACGGCTCTCCACACGACCCCGGTGGATAGGGACTTTTGTAATTGGGTTGATAGCCTGGAACTCTCTGACTTAGGCTATGTTGGCCCTTTCTTCACTTAGAAACGGGAAGGTTGTGGAAGCAGAATTGACCATGTGCTCTCAAACTTCAAAGCCAGAGAGGTTTATAGTGATGCTATTGTTAAAAATCTCCCTTGGTTTAAATCAGATCATCGACCTATTTTACTCCAACTTCACCCAGGTTTGGTCTCTAACTCTAGTCACCCTCGTCCTTTTCGTTTTAATGCCCCTTGGGTTCTCCATGATGATTTTAGCAGGTTAGTTAAAGATCATTGGAATCCTCATATCAAGTGGACAGACAATGTTAACTCCTTCACAAATGAACTTATCACTTGGAGCAAGATAACATATGGGCATTTGGGGAGGAAGAAAAGACAATTAATGTGGAGACTAGAAGGTATATCTAGATCTGTTAAAGCCTCTGGGACATCTTCCTCTCTAGAACAGCTACAAAGGAAACTTTGGCTTGAGTTAGAAGAGGTGCTTATTCAAGAAGAATTACTATGGGCCCAAAAAACGAAGTGTGATTGGTACACTCTCAGTGATAGAAATTCCAAATACTTTCATGCAAGAGCTAACGGGCATAGACGTAGAAACAAAATTGAAGCTATCATGAAGGAGAACGGGGAATGGACTGATAATGTAGAAGAGATCAAAAAAGTTGCTATAGGTTTCTTCGTGTCCCTCTTCCACGATGAGGGTAGTGACGAAATTATCCCTGGAAACAATGTTTCTTACCCACCCATTGACAATGAGACGCTAAAAGACATGGCCTCAGAAATTACTAGTGTTGAGATCAAAACTGCTCTCTTTAACATGGGTGCTTTGAAGTCTCCTAGACCTGATGGTTTGAATGCTCTATTTTTTCAGAACCAATGGGAAGTAGTGGGTTCCTTAGTTATCAATTTGGCCAAGCAAGCATTTGTGAATCCTGAGATCATCTCTAATATTAACCACACCTTCATTGTGCTGATCCCCAAAAAAGATCACCCAGAGACTATAAGAGATTTTAGGTCCATTAGTTTGTGCAATGTGATCTATAAAATCATTACCAAGGTCGTGATGAATAGAATGAAGAGGTTCTTACCTAACATCATTACCCCTAATCAGTGCAGCTTTGTGCCTGGTCAGACGAGTTCGGACAATATCATTGTTGCTCAAGAGGTTATCCACTAGATGAGAAACATGAACGGTAAAAGAGGCTATATGGCGATTAAGATCGATTTAGAAAAAGCGTATGACCGTATCTCTTGGAAATTTGTGACAAGTTGCCTAAATGAAATCAAGATGCCTAATATGATAAAAAAATACTATCTTGTCTTGCATTTCCTCTCCTTCAATGTAGATCTTGTGGGAAGGAGATAAAGCCAACTGCTTCAATCCCTCTCGGGGACTTCGCCAAGGAGACCCACTCTCCCCATACCTCTTTGTTCTTTGCATGGAGAAATTGGCTCATATCATCCAAAATGAAATGAACAATAGTCGTTGGAAAGCTATTAAACTTGTTAAGTCTGGCCCTCCTATCTCTCATTTATTTTTCGCTGATGATTTGTTGATTTTTACAGAAGCTACCCTCGAATAGGTGGAGGTTATCAAGAGTTGCCTAAATATCTTCTGTGAAGCTTCTGGGCAGAAAGTCAACCAAGGGAAAACCAAAGTGTTCTTCTCTAAAAATATAAACCATAATAGAAAAGCGTAACTTAGCGAAGCACTTGGTTTCTCTTGCACTGCTGACCTTGGGAAATATTTGGGAGTTCCCTTACAGCATGGAAGAGTCTCAAATATGACCTACCAATATATCATGGATAAAGTTAAAAGATGCCTAAGCAGTTGGAAAATAAACAGCTTATCTTTGGCTGGCCGAGGCACCCTTGTTCATTCAGTGATTAATGCTATACCATCCTACGCTATGCAGACTGCTTATATTCCAGACAATACTTGCAGTCAGATTGAAATAAAGGCACAAGATTTCCTTTGGGGTTCATCTGAGGATAAAAGGAAGACGCAACTTATCTCTTGGGATGGAGTCTGCAAAGGGAAACAGCATGGGGGATTGGGCATGAAGCACATCAAGCAACAAAATCGAGCATTTATGATGAAACTTGGATGGGGCTTAGTTACAAAACGTGACTCGCTTTGGGTCAAGGCAGTTAGGAGCAAATATGGATGTGAGGACGACCTCATTCCTACTATTAACAAGCAAAGAGCAGGCTCCAATATATGGCAGGGAATCAAGAATAATTGGGATCATGTTGAATCTGGCTTACAGAAGGTATCTGATCTTTTTGGAAACATGAAGGCTCATTGGAAGTGGAATAAGACGGGGTACTTTACAGTTAAATCAGCTTATGAATCCCTCGACCCCCCAAATAATTCGGATCATAGGAACTAGAAGAGCATCTGGAAGATGAAAATACCTCAAAGATGCAAAACCTTCGCCTGGCTACTCTACCACGAGCGACTAGTTACGAATAAACGCAAATATCAGGTAGGCTTGCACCAAAATGGTCTTTGTGATCGTTGCCATTAGGAAATAGAAGACGAGCCCCACACCCTTCGGGATTGTGCTGATATTAAAGCACTCTGGATTTCGATCATCAAGTAGGAACTTCGGCATGGGTTTTTCTCTTGCAAGCTTCAAGAATGGATTCGCTTGAATATGAGAGGAAACGTTGGGAAGATGGAGACTGAATGGAAAAGCTACTTCGCCATCATTACTTGGCTCATATGGAAAGCTAGGAATGATTTTACTCACTCCAACATAGTCACCGATTTGAACACGATGACAGCAAGAACTCTTGTGATATTGAACTGCATGCGCACTACAATAACGAAACTTAAGGGCATTAATGTCAGCTCCCCCTAATGCTTGGTGACTCAACAAAATGAAGTAGACACAAGAGGCAGACTAGTGCTGGAGGTTGATGGTGCTTACTCAGCTTACCAGGGACGCTTAGCGTGTGGAGGAATCCTAAAATACCAGGACCACAATCTTATGGAAGGCTTCATGTGCAACCTGGACCACAGTGATCACTTGACGGCAGAACTCTGGGGCTGTTTAATCGGATTGAAACGGGCCTGGGATCTTGGAGAGAGGGACATCATTCTAAGAAGCGACTCTTCGGAGGCTCTGAAGCTCATTACGGGAGATGACAACATGCTACATGACGACAGGGGAGTGATACAAGAAATCCAGACAATGATTGCATGGGACTGGCAAGTCGAATGCCAAGTTATTAGTAGAGACACAAATCAAATGGTAGACAAGCTTGCTAAGGAAGCGCTGAATGAAACGAGAGGCTTGCAAATTCTAAGTCCTGGTGCTGTGAAGATAAGGACGCTTCAGGCTGGTCCTTAGTTTTTTTTAATGTTCTTTTGGTTCTTGTTTATCAAAAAAAATTCCATCACTAAGCCGCTGTTTTTCTTATAATGGTATTCATGCCGGTGACTCGAGTTTGATTCCTAGCAGCGATACCATTTGATTAACCCTAGTTGTAGATGCTATCAAAAATTACTAAATTTCAAGATATAGTATAATGTTGCAATCTAGGTCAATCATTTATTCTCTAGGTTCTTAAAATTTTTAATTAGTAAAGATAATGAGCAATTAGCTAGACAAAAAAAAGTCATTAATTGAAGTTAATTACTAACCTTCTATAACTCTTCTATTAAATTTGAAGTATTTATTTTCTTTTTAATTAAATGAATAAAATCTGCAATTAAGGAAAACAAGGCCAGAAAATGATAGTAATAATCAAATGGAGTAGCTTTCCCTAGAAGTTCACCTAACCATCATCAACTTCCAATCTAGATCATTCAAAACTAAAGTAGTGTTGAAGATTCAATGTAGAAAATGATCTAAAGTTAATCAAAAAACACTAAATTACCATGTATGTTTCAAATTTATAACAAAATCCAAATCAACCGAATTGAATTATATCATAAAGTCATTAAAATTGTACATGAATACCACACAATTAAGAATTCAATATAGCTTAATAGTCTAAAAAGAAACAGGACAAAGTACACTCTATTCTCAAATCCTTAATTGAACTTGTCTATTGACAAAGCAAATAAGGAACTAGAAGAAGTAGAACAATAATGAACAAATACTCCTTTAACTAAGATTCAAGTATCGACTTCACTGCTAGGAAAAAGAGAGCACTTAGCCAAGCATGCTTGACACTTCACTGAGCTTCTGGTGTGGTTATGGCATAGCTCTGTCTTCACATGGAAAATGGAGGTTGAGAGAAAAATGGAAGTCTAGAAAGTGGAGAGAAAAGTCTTTTACTTGCCATTGGAATTCCTCTTCTATCTTCTTCCTTTCTAAGTTTTCAGGTGACATGGAGCTCCCTGCAACTTGCCCAAGGTTGACTTGGTCTAAGTCTATTAGAGGAAGTTTCCATTTTTAGTTTGCTGCCTAACTGTTAATTTTTCAGCTTTGGAGATTCCAGCAAGTCAATTGTATTGTAATTCCTCTAGGGATGGAGTTGGTTTTCCAACAGCAAAAGAATTTCTTTCCTAGAGTCCGTTTTCCTCCCTTACTAGAACTCCTTTTTAGCCAATGTAGACTTCTACTTTTGCCCCTGAAATTGTGCCAATGAACAAAGAGTAACATCAAATGATTGGAGATGCCTTGTAATAGGGCATGGAGGAAGTATCATATGCTCCTTCTAGTCCTTTTTATAAATTGCAATTTTTTTTAATTGGGCTACTTCTTTTTATAGGTTACACTTTGAATAATTTTTGAAATTTTAATGCACACATTTATTTTTACTCCCAAATAATTATATCTCACTTTTATATCTTTTCCCCACTTATTCACTCATCTTTTTTTCTCACTCACACTCTCTCTTAGTTAGCATCTCAATAAATAATGCTATTTTTGAAAAATAAGTGGTATTTTTTTTTTTACACATCTATTGTTGTTAGCTAATTTTTTGGTCTACATGATTTGGTCATTTGTATTTTATATGAAGGATCATTGAGAGTATTAAGTAGTATATCCTTAATGATATAGTCACTTTGGTTCTATTTTTATGGTAAAGTTAATTAATTTCATGATTTTTAAATTTGCAAGAAAAGAATGAGGATGCGTCTAGGCTCTAGCACTCTAAAATATTTTTTTCAGTAGCACTTATTGTTCTAAACTAATTTGTGGTGTATTTAATATTTTAAAGTATTTTTTCAGTAGTGCTTAATATCTTAGAATAATTATTTTGTGCAATTTTGCCTTTAAAGTATTTTTCTCAATAGTAATAAATACCCTAAACTTGGGATACTAAATGCTCTTCAAAAAATATTTTAAGACATTGAATTACTAAAACTAAGTTTAGGATAATGAATGCTGCTAAAAAAAATACCTTAAGACTTTAGATGTATCAAAAAATTGGTTTAGAATATGAAATATTATTGAAAAAATACTTTAAGATACTAGATACAACTTAACCCAAAAAATGTTATTTTCCAATTGTGTCATTTACTAACATTAATGACCACAATAAAGTGTGTTTTGAATTAAAAATATAGCAACAACTTCACATATTCAGGAGGGATAATTTTATTAAAAAAAAAATTAGTTACCACGTCTTTACGTGTATAGAAAAATAGGACCTTAAAATTGTATGCTAATCATCATTATTTTTGAAAATTAAGCTTAATATATCAATATTTGAGAATATGTTGTCAACCACTTACAATTTTAATGTCAACATATGTTGTGAGCTATGTTATAATTAGAGGACCAGAAAAATACTTTATAAAATTAGAGAACTAAAATGAAATCTTATATTAAATTAATAAATAACTAAAAGCGCACTTTTTCCCAGCATTACATTTCCAATCTACTTTCCCGCTCAACATTATCATTTGTTAACCTAAGATAATGCCACACATTCAACAATATCTTGATGAAGGAATTTGCAATGATAGATAGACAAGTTGAATAAATAATATGCAAATAATTGGTAGATACTACTCCATGTCTATCAGCTACACATGATCACAGTCAAATAATCTCTGCAAAGAATTAATGATTATATGTTCTAATGCTTTAAAATAGCAATAGGGTATAAACAGACATGCAACAATCATATACAAGTGTAAGATAGGAAAAACTACTACCTGGTTAGCTTCCCTCCAAACCAAACCTTACAAATTTCTTTTTCTTCTTTTGCTTCTTTAGTGGGCTTGAGCTGATATCAAAACCTATGATATTCGTAAGGGTCGATTAATGCTTGATTCAATTGTAATTCATAAATTAAATAACTCTCTTTAAATCCCAAATGTTCTTTAATCTCTACCCTCACTTAGTAGTTAGTCATCCTGGACAATTTTTCATTTAGGAACATCATCAAACTCGAAGTCCCCACTTGAACATCTCAATTCAAGCCTACACTTAAAGGTTTACTAACTTAGTTACTAATTACAACTTTATTATAAAACTGTCTTATTTCCTATCTACACAAATCATCCAAACAAACTAATTATCACTCATCCTGCTATCATGCCAAATTATCATATTTCATAATCACTTATAATCTAAACCCTCAACAACAAATTTTGGTCAATTTGCACTATTTATTTCCTTGGAGTTTGAACATTAAATTAAATTTCTTCTATTTAAAAACCCGATGATTTAGCACCATAAGACGTCAAACTTCTCTCCTTAAATTTAGAACTTCACATTTCCAAAGAATTTCCAGCAGCTACTCAGACTATTTAATCATCAAGATAGAGTGTTTAGGCGTTCCACAATATGATTTCTCAAATTCTGGCTTCAAGCATGAGACTTAAACCTTTATTTTGACACAGCTAAATATGATTTACCTATTCCAAATCTTGATGCCACCATACTCACTTGTATGAACATATTACATTATAGGCATTAGGCACCTTCTAGCTTTTTCACTATGGATTGTGTAACTCAACATTGAAATCTAATAAACTCCAGCTTTAACGTTAATTAAATCATCATTTAAATGTCTTTCACTAAAGTTTATTTAACTAAGACGCTTATTTATTCAAAGTGGCATCAAATAGTGAAACACCACGATTATAACACCAATCCAGTTTCCAAAACGAAGCAGTTACAGCAGCAATACATCACTTTAACATGGATTATATTCATTTCTTCAATTCCATAGAACCTGACATCCATAGCTCAAAAAATCCTCCTATAACTCAATATACATGCAAACCGAAAGCAACACTTGCAGAAACATATACCCCTGTTCGGCCAACCCAGAAACAGAGGCAAAAGAATAACGTTCATCCACCAAAACTTACATGCAAGCTAAAAATCTTACACCATCACCGATCGACATTTTCTCATCATCATCAAGTTTCAACTTAAACCGGAAGTTCCTCTCACTAAAACCCAAATTTCTTTCATCATTAGCTCTTCAAACACCCAACAAAGCGAATGAAGAAGAGTAGGATGATGATCAGGGGACTCACCTTGTTCAGAAACTTAGTCTGCATGCGACAATCACCCCCTCCGGCACTGTTTCTCCCGGTCTCCTTCTGCGGTCTCTCTCTCGACCTTCTCTTCCTTTTCCTTCGAGCGGCAGCGTGAAAATGAGGAGGGAGAGGGTGTCATCTGATGTTAAATAGTGAGGTAGCACACGTGTCATGTGGGAAAGAAATTCTGGACCATTTTGCCCCTCTAACATAGTTATGCTTCCAATTTCATGCTTCTCCTATTTTTCTGAAATTATAAAATAAACCTAGAAATTAATCCATAATTTTTCATATGGATTTTCCTCATCTAATAGCTTCTTTGACCATAAAATAATTTCTCTAAAATTTTTGGGTCAAAAGTCGACTCGTAGCAATTTTTCTTAGAACTTTCTAAGAAACTAATCCATTTTTGCTCTAAAAATAACTTCAAAATTATTTAAGCCACTTTTTTGGGGAATAAAATTTCCCAAAATATTTCTAAGTCTTCAAAATTCTTATTCCATATTTCCCCCCAATTTATTCAGGCACTAAATAATTTTAAATAAATTTTCTCATTTCTGTTTTGTCTAAGTCAAAAAATCTGGGGTGTTACAGATAATATCAAACACAACTGAAAAGTAAAAGATAATAAATATAGAAAATCTTCAATTCCTTCAATCTTGGGAGCACATTTCATGCTCATCATTGCTCATCACAATGATAAGCATGGAGTGCTTATGTTAATTTGGACCATCCAGATCGATTTTGAATGATCTAGATTAAATTTAAATTTGTTATAGATTTTAATTAACTTTTTATTTTAATAGGTACAAAATTTAAACTAAAGATAATCTTATAACTAACACTTTTTTAAAAAAATAAATGTATCATTGAAAAAATTGCATATTAAGATTTTTA